GTGTGTGTGTGTGTGTGTGTGTGTGTGTGTGTGTGTGTGTGTGTGTGTGTGTGTGTGTGTGATGTGACAGCACACTCTGGAAATCCCCACCTGGCCTGAAGATACACCAACCAGCCCTGACGTTGAACATAAAAAACAACTAAAATGCTAATATTTAATTGTTTATGTGGCCATAATGTGTCCTCTGTGATAGAACTACTCACATGCATGTAGAACAGAAGTGGCCCATGTGTCCCTGAGCCCATCATGGATGTTTTGCGGCTGCTCTGAAAATGGGGATTTTAAATGGTGTCAGTTGTTTCATTCTAACCCAAATCAAAGGGTGATTAAAGGATTGCAAGGGGACATCAGGTCACACATAATGTTTTTGTCACCATCAACTAAAATGCTTGTGCTTACTAGTGGTGTTCCTAGCCACTAATTTCTTTGTTGACTAACCTACCAGTGTAAAACTAAGGAACACTCAGTGAGTTAAATGTGAAAGCTGTTTAATAGAAAATGTCAAAAACTGATAACAAAGCCGTTTTAAATCACTGATCACGTTCTTCAATAATGAATCATGCCGTGCCTTATCAACGTTACATGTTATATTTCTGTGAAGGTTCTCAGTCATCCAGGTCATCGTAGTCTAAGGAGCTTGGAGAGAAAAGCATCTGGACTTCTGGACTTCTTTAAATTGCTTGAAGACGTTAGGGGGTCCATTGTCCCTCCCACAGGGCTTAAATCTGGGACTCTCCACCATTTGACCTTAGATCTGAAGAAGCTTCTCGGATGAGAGGTGAAACGTCTTCAAGCAACTTAAAGAAGTCCAGACGCTTTTCTTTCCAAGCTCCTTAGGTTACATGTTATACTCCAGACGATGAAGAAGAAAAACACTTAAAACAAACAGATGTTAAATATGAAAACATGTTACTACAGAAGATGTTCACGTATTACTAAAATATGACAAATTAACCACTGAAAAACTCATAAATTGTGACGGAAAAGTGTGCCATGCATTATGAATGATGGACAATGTTTGAAAATCCATGACAACCGTTTTGCTAAAAATCAAAAATAACAACGCAATAAATCATCCTGCCATTTTCTTCTGCTTATCTGAAGAAAATTATCCCTATACCACACCTTCTCATTTAATGTTTTTTTTTTTTTTTTTACTTTCATGTCTATTTACATTGTAGATTCTCACTGAAGGCTTCAAAACTGTGAATGAACACATATAGTAGGGGTGGGTTTTGATTATCGATTTATCAATTAAAATCACTTCTAGCTTGGATAACGATTCATTAAAATCCTGAATCGATTTTTTTAATATAAATTTATTTTACTTCATGCACAGCTCTCTAAAAATCTGTTTTCTGCATTATTCGCTTGCTTATTACGCACCAGTCTACCGTTGTTTACAGGCTGTCGGCCGCTGTTTTTTTTCCTTTTACTTACTTCTGACAAGAAAGCCTCATTTCTGCTGTTCAACACTGAACAAATTTAAACTTTTTAAAATTGAAAAACTCTCAGCTGTGTCTCTAATAAAACCTCTGTAACTTTGCTCTGCTTCACTTCAGCAGCATCAGGTAACGTTCATATGTTGATTAATGGTTTTCTTTCGTTTTTGATCTACTGCTGAATACTTTTATAAAATCCCAGAACAGGAAAATCACCTTCATGCTTTTCTATGTTTTATTCTCAGTTACTTTGACACAAAGGCCTCTGCTGTGATGTTTACACCTTTGTCTCGCAAGTGTCAGTTTTCTTTTTATAGATATAAAAATATGGATATGTACTGATGCATGATCTGAATTATACTATTTCTGACTGTCTGAGGCAAAATTTCCCCGAATTGAATCGAATCGATTCAAGAAATCAGTGACGATACCCAGCCCTAGTTTCTAGTTTCTAGTCAGCCTTGCATTATTTAGTCTACCAGCCTAAATACATGGCTTGGCTTCTGTTTCATGACTATTTACATTGTAGATTCTCACTTAAATTATGTAGTAAAAAAAGTGTGAAACAACTCAAAACATGTTTTATATGTTAGATCCTTCCTAACAGCCGCCTTTGCTTTGATTCCTGCTTTGCTCACTCTTGGCGTTCTCTCCATGAGCTTCATGAGGTCGTCACCTGAAACGGTTTCCAACAGTCTTGAAGGAGTTCAGAGATGCTGAGCACTTGTTGGTCCTTTGCCTTCACTCTGCGCTCCATCTCATCCCAAACCATCTCCACTGGGTTTATGTCAGGTGACTGTGGAGGCCAGACCATCTGGTGCAGCACTCCATCACTCTCCTTCTTGGTCAAACAGCCCTCACACAGCCTGCAGGTGTGTTTGGGGTCATCGTCCTGTTGAACAATACATGATGGGATGGCATGTTGCTGCTGGGTCAGTGTGCCTTCAGTTTTGAATAAATCCCGAACAGTGTCACCAGTAAAGCCCCCCACACCAGCAAACCATCAACTCCATGGTTCATGGTGGGAACCATGAACCATGGACCATGTTGTTTCTCTTTAATAATAATAATAATAATAATAATGGATTGGATTTATATAGTGCTTTTCAAGGCACCCAACGCGCTTTACAATGCCACTATTCATTCACTCTCACATTCATACACTGGTGGAAGCAGCTATGGTTGTAGCCACAGCTGCCCTGGGACAGACTGACAGAAGCGAGGCTGCCATATCGCACCATCGGCCCCTCTGGCCGATGGTGCGATATGGCCTTTACTTAGCTGATTGGGTCTTGCCATAATATGAACTCTAACAGCTGTCAAATAGGGCTGTCAGCTGTGCATCAACCTGACTTCTGCACAACACAGATGATGGTCCCAACACCACCAATGAACCCTGACAGGCTCACCTGTGAGGTGAAACCATTTCAGGTGACGACATCATGAAGCTGAGAGAAGGCCGAGGGTTTGCAGCTGGTTGGCTTCTTTCTTGAATCTAAATTCTAAAACATATTTTGAGTTATTTATCTTTTCTTTTTTTGCTACATAATTCCATATATGTTGCTTGATATATTTGATGTAATTATCTACATATGTACATATATTGTGCATATATAATGCATATGTGTGTGTAATCATCACAGCTGCACAGAAAGATTAAATTGATTAAGTGCTTGCTGCAATCTTGGTGTTGCTGTTTAATGCTAAAGCTCTGTGTTAAAACTGATAAAATTAAAAAGCTTGATTTTTGTGTCCACTTCTGACACCATCATGCCACAAAACGAGAGTTGGAAATCCATTAATGTTGTTGCGTAATTTTATTGCTTGATTGGGCATTGGTGATAAATCGCCTACATATGCAACTGAAATCAAATCAGTATAATTTGTCAGCTCAATTTGTAATTCTTATATGGCACTTTGATATTTCAGAAGGCCTTCTGCTTCTAGATTATGATAGTTTTTTCTGTAAAGCGGATGTAGGTGGTATTATGAAAGGAATATAATGAAAGACTGGCTCAATAGACCTAAATTACAGAAATCATAACAGTTTTACAGTTATGTATACAGTTATTCATAGATCTTACAGAAACCAGTCTAGTCTGGTGTTTTCAGTCGGACTCTGGAGGCTTATGCCTCATTGCAAAGTAGCTGCTTGGAGTTATGTTTGGCCATCCAACAGACTTCTCAGTGTCTCAAGTTACTTCAGTCTTTTAAAATAGAACATCCTGACATTCTACAGCTGAAAGTACCAGTGCCACAGCTCTCCTAATCAGGCTACAAAGCTAACAGTTTTTTCACTTAATGTCAGACACTGGTCGTAGTTTTAGAATCGCAAAAACTCCCAGCTGTCAAAATCTTTTCTTAGACTCAAACATGTTAAGAGACACATACAGTTATTTGTCTCCAGTTGTGCTTATTGTTCATTTTTTGACTTCAAGACAAGCTCCAAAGATTGCACAGGGTGTAGGATTTGGAAACGGAGCAGAGGATTGAAAATCAGCATGTATTGGAACTCATAGACAGTTAATACATGCAGCACAATAGCACACTATACTCGGTAAATGCAGGGCAGCACAGTGGTTAACTTTTTTCTTTATTATGATTGTAAAGAAATCTAAAATGGAATTAGGTTGCACTTAACAATGAATATAAAAATATGTTATAATATAAATATATTTCTTTCATTCACGCACATTAAACATGGAAAACAACACAAGACCACCAAAATGCATATTTTGATTTATTCCTGTAATTACTGCATGTTTAGTATATGAGGTGTGCTTTCAGTTCACTGTTCATGATGGTAGTGACTTTAAGGTAAAGACTGTTGGTGAATCGTCTGGTGCATGTTCTAATCGATGTTGTCCTGAAGTTAACAACAGTTTTTTTTCTAACAGCGGGAGATGGAGATGTCTTCCAGGACAGGCAGCTGTTGGTTTGTTTGTCTTTTTGTGTGCTGCAGAGCTGCTCCCTTACTATAACAGAATGGCACAAGTGCAGACACCTCAGTGGAGTTCTGGTAGAAAGACACCAAGAGATGCTGCAAGAGATTTACTTCTTGAGCAGTCTAATGGGGGCATTATGCTCACTGTGTCATGAGTATGTCGTGATGATTTTGACCTCACATGTGTCGCCCACAATCTTTGTGGTGCATCGGCGGATCATGCTCCGCTCGCTTTCTGTAACCCGGGTCTTTGTGCTGCATCCACCGCAGTAAGCCGAAGACACGACTACAATCATGTCCGTTTTTACCACCATTTTCTTTCCAAGCTCCTCGGACCACCACGACCTGGGTGACTGTGAACCTACACAAACAGTCAGTTTAGTTATTGTTTGCAAACTGTGTAGTTTTGTTTTATTAGATTTTTAATTGACTTGAACATTTTCTTTGTGCTTCACCTTTTTTTTTCTGGAGAAGACTTTTTCAAGAATACAGATTGGTGTGTGTTTTTTCTTTTTTGGTTCAGTGTTTTTCTGTTTTGCCACCGTCATTCAAAGCAAAGGTGCAATTAACAAATAAAGTGGAAGCGACTGGCAACAACAGCAACTCAGCCATAAAGTGTTAGGCCACATGAAAGCTGTTCTACCTGCAAAGGGTGGGCCGGCATCCTATTAAATCATCTGGATTAAGAATGGGTTGTCGCTCAGGTTCATATGTGTGTGAAGGCCAACAAGGAAATTCTTCTGCAGAATATAGTGTAGATTAGAGTTGGATGTCTTGAGACCGGTCTTGGTCTCGAGACCACTTTTACGTGGTCTTGGTCTCGACAGACTTT